CTTATATAAGCATTTATTTATAATATTAAATATTTTATAGCCTTATAATACATTTATAGGTATTCTAATCTTGTAATGTATTGTAATATATTACATTACAATACAATACAATACAGTATAGTAAAAAATACAAAAAATACAATACATTTAGAGGTCTGTTTATAGCTATTAAGTCTTATAGTTTTAAAATAATAATTGTCTTAAAATTAGCTTTTAATAAGCGTCTCTTAGTTTATTAGTATATTAGGTAAGAATAATAATAGGTTTTTATATCTTTTAATTAATTTAGCTAAAAGAATCTCCCTTATAGTTTTTATATAATAATTTCTAGCTTAAAATATCTTAAAGTATTATAAGCTTACTAGATTCTTATTAGTATATTCTTTATAAGAGTATATTTTACTAGAGATTTATTTTACTTTAAATAATAGAGTATTTAGCTAATAATTTTATATTTTAAAGAGTAATACCTAATAAGTTTCCTTTATTTAATAGAAATAGTTTAATATTTATAAATAATAATAATTAATACCTCTTTATACTACTATAATTTAAATTATCTTTTAAGTTTACGTGTTAATTCTTATATTATATCTTTATTTAAAGAGCTTTCTTTAAGTAAAATTCATTCTTTAATATTTACGTTCATTAAAATTTAAATTAATTAATCTATTATTATAAAAGTAACTTTTACTCTTATTCTTCCCTTTATTAATAAAGGTTTTAATCTTAGGCTATTTAGTATTCTTAATATTCTATTAGTAATCTTTATAATCTTTATAGTATTAGCTTAATAAATATATTTTACGTTTAACTCCTATAATATATTAATCTATTAAACTACTTTCTTATATACTTTTACTAGATTTACTATTAAGTTAATAATACCTTTATAATTCGTATATACCTTTAAAGGAAATAGTAAACCCTTTACTAATTATTATATTTCCTTTAATTCTACTATAATTATATATATCTTTTTCTTAGGTATAGTATTTTTTTTTCGTATTTATTAGCTTATAGAAAAGCTATATTATAAGCTTACTAAATTCTTATTAGTATATTCTTTATAAGAGTATATTTCGTTAAAGATTTATCTTACTTTAAATAATAAAGTATTTAATTAATAATTTTATATTTTAAAGAGTAATACTTAATAAGTTTCCTTTATTTTATAGAAATAATTTAGTATTTATAAATAATAATAGTTAATACTTCTTTATATTATTATAATTTAAACTATCTCTTAAGTATTAATCCCTAGCACTTATTCTAAGTCTTAGTAATTATACTTTTAATAGCTTTATTATAAGACTAAGTTATAGTAAATTAAGTTATATAATTTACTATTATTAATATATAAGCGTTCTTATTTTAAGTTATAAGTGTAATAGAACCTAGATAATTTATAGCTATTAAGTCCTATAATTTTAAAATAATAATCGTCTTAAAATTAGCTTTTAATAAGCGTTTTTTAGTTTACTAATATACTAGATAAGAATAATAATAGGTCTTTATATCTTTTAATTAGTTTAGCTAAAAGAAT